ATAAGCCTCTTCTAGAACCAACTGCTATGGCCATTTCCATTAGGAGACAATTTCAAACTCTTGGCTTTTATTTGAGCCTTATTACCTTTCTATTAACTTCCCTCCTCACTCGTGTGTAATGCACTCATGGAGCACACTGCAACAAGGCTGCCTCAGCACATAGGCAAGTAGACTTCTGTTTGTCACAAGCAGTATTTTACAAGTTCCCTAACTAGCCAGCACTGGCTCAATTATCATAAATACTCCATCTCAATATACTTAGTAATTCTGAGAACATTTTTATTTGTAAGTGACTTTGAGCTAACTTTAATACACATCAGGATAAGTACTATGTTTCATGTTCCCATGGCTTTCCACTTAAGGAAAAATAACTTTCTTCTATACAAATCAAAACTCTAAGGTGAAAATGCTTCCTATTCAGCTGCAATTTTGTTTACAAGCCAGAGAAGAGGGGAGGAACACTATTCCTCTTACCAAACACATCTCAGGAGCAACAAAAAGATTTTTTTTTTTTTTTTTTTTAAAGAATCTGTGTGTGGCAATAGGTGGAAACAAGATGACAGTAGAAACCTGGAGATGACCAGATTTGGGCCACTAAATAACAAAATGTGAATATCAAATGGACAAATAACACAAATGTGAAGAAACTGTATCCCAAACTAAACATGATAAAGAAGAACGCCAGTTGTGGCACACGAAGGTAGGATTTGTTGAAGGGACAGGGAAATCACAAGTTTTAAGGCAAGCCTTGGTTACATAGTGAGTTTCAGGCTAGCAAGTGCTCCACAGTGAGAACATGTTCTGAAAAGAATAGAAAAGCATAGTCACAACTGGCACAAAGCTACCACAAAGTTTTAGGGACAAACATTCAGTGAATCCAGGTCATTCCAGTTTCACCAATATGACAAGGGTATGAAATCTTGGTTCCTTAAGGCCAAGTGTGTGTGTGTGTGTGTGTGTGTGTGTGTGAGAGAGAGAGAGAGAGAGAGAGAGAGAGAGAGAGAGAGAGAGAGAGAGAGAGAGAGAATGAGTCTGCTAAGAAGAAATTTGCATCTTTATCTTAAATGAAAACAAAAACATTTTGTAAGGCTACAGAGATGGCTCAATGATTAAGAGCACTGGCTGCTCTTCCAGAGGACCTGGCTTCAACTCCCAGTAGTTGCATGACAGCTCACAACTGTTTATAACTCCAGTTCCACACCTTCTTCTGACCTCTAAGGGCACCAGGCACACATGTGGCACACATATATACCTGTGAGCAAAACAACATACAGATTAAAGAAATTTTAAATTAATAAAATAGTATTTTGTAGCCGGGAGTGGTGGCATGGGCCTTTATCCAGGAGGCAGAAAGACAGGTGGATCACTGTGAGTTTGAGGTCAGCCTAGTCTACAGAGCAACTTCCAAGATGGCCAGAGCTGTACAGAAAACCCTGTCTGGGGTTTTCTGGCAGGTAAAAATTACATTAAATCCCTGACCCCCTTTGAGACAAGTTCTCCTGTAGCCCATGCTGGTCTCAGATTCGATATGCAAATAGGGGTGCCCTTGGACTTCTGATCCTCCTGTCTCTACCTTCCAAGGACTAGTATTACAGATGCACACTACCACACACCCATTTTATGTGATGTTGGAGAGCAAGCCCAGGGTTTCACAGATGATAGACAACCACACTACTAAGCCTTATCCCCAGCTCCAAAACTGTAATTTCAGTGGCAACAAAACTTGACTGGCAGGTATCAGGCTCATTTAGCACATCTGTGCTTATTTCCTGCAACAAGAGCAGAGCTAAAGAGCTGCAGCAAAGCCTAAACGGCTCACTCTTCTGGTTCTTTTCAGAGATCCTGAAAATGGGATGAGGGAAAATTCTAAGAAAAAGTAATGAAATTTCAGAGAGATAGAGATAGAAAGTCTGAGTTTCCATAAAACCCTAAAAAGTCTATCAACAAATGATGATGAATCAAACTGGTATGAATTCCCCAATCTCAATACCAAATGCCACATGATATAGAACATAAGTCAATAAACATTTGTTAACAAGATATTAGATCTGTAACTTCTCAGATACACCTCCTGTTCACACAAGTCCCAGGCCTACTTCCAACCACAAGGACCTCTGTCCTAACCTGTAGACAAAACCTGCTCTGCTAGTACTACACCACTGAAAGAAAAAAATCCCTCTTCTCAATGTCCTGTGAGCACATGACTCAGACCTAATACATCAGATCATCCAGGGAAAGACGACTCTTCAATAGTCATTATTCACTGTTTCAAATACCAATATGGCAATCACAGAAGGGGCAAAGAGAACTAGTACACAATACATTGGCATAAATTCAGTAGGATAAAAGGAAGCAGCAAGAGCCAGGTGTGGCACTTACTTCTACTCTCAAGCCTAGGAGGCTGAGGTAGGAAGACCGTGAATTCCACGCCAGCTTCAGCTGCACATGAATTCTAGACCATAGAGTGCTACAAAATGAGACCTTGCCTTTTAAAAAAACTCAATACCCTCCACTTTGTAATCATGCTTTACTCATGTCAGATTTCTGGAAACATCTACATTTCAAGAAGAAACAGAGTAAAATTATAACCAAAACATTTGATAAGATTATTAACTCACAGAATTGCAACTGCAACTACTTCCATCAAACCAGAAACACACTAATTTATCAAATACAAATGTCAAAATAGCCCACTAGTTTTATGTTTAAAAAGAATCAAGTCTTATTACTTGATACTTTTTTTTTAATTTGAAGGATTTGTTTTTATGAGCTGAATAGATGGCTCAGTGGTTAAGAGCACTCACTGCTCCTCCAGAGGATCCTGATTTCACTCCCAACACCCAACAACCATCGGTAATACCAGTCACAGGGAATCCTCTTCTGGCCTCTCTGGGCATCAAGCACAGAAGTACACAGACATACATGCAGACAAAACACTCATACCTCATTTTTTAAATTTATTTTTAATATTTTAATTGCATACAGGTGTATGTTATCTGCATGTGAATACGTACACACTGAGTGAGGTGTCCAAAGAGGCCAGAGACATCCAACAACCAGAGCTGGAGATTGACAGCTGTGAGCCAACTGAGATGGGTGCTGGGAACCACACTAGGATCATCTAGAGGAACAGCAAGTGTTCTTAAATGCTGAGCCATCTCACAGCCCCCAGTTTATTTATTTTTATGTATACTCGCATTTTGCCATGTATGTGGAGGCCATTAGACTTTGCTGGATCCCCTAAAAGTGGAGTTATAGATGATTATGAACACCCATGTGGCTGCTGGGAACTGAACCCAGATCCCCTGAAAAAGCAGTTAGTCCTCCTAGCCACTGAGTCATCCCTCCAGTCCATATTCATTTTCTTTACTACTGATCAAACTTGGAAGCTGTTCAATAATATTAAAATGACTTTCCTAGCCGGGCGGTGGTGGTGGTGGTGCACGCCTTTAATCCCAGCACTCGGGAGGCAGAGGCAGGCGGATCTCTGTGAGTTCGAGGCCAGCCTGGTCTCCAAAGCGAGTTCCAGGAAAGGTGCAAAGCTACACAGAGAAACCCTGTCTCGAAAAACAAAACAAAACAAAACAAAAAAAATAATACTTTCCTAACAGGGTATCACCTAGATTGTTATGTGAGACATGTTTTTGCTTTTCTGTAGTGGCAGATATCACAAAAATTGTAAAGGCCTCTTTTTTTTTTTTTGTTCATCAGCCTTTATTGATGTTTGTATATTGAATGTATGGCCTAATACAAAATTTCTTCATCACAAGTGGCCCAGAGATGCAAAAAAATGGAACTCTAAATAGACAGGAACTACAATGGAAAAGATAATGGATAAAGTTTTATTTATATATCTTAGTTCATTTTGATAATTGTCAATTTGACTGAACTAAGTAGCAACTAGATTAGAGTGTACTTCTGGGTGTGTCTATGAGGATGTTTCCAGAAAAAAATAATTAGAGGAGAAACCCCCACCCTGGATATGGGCAGCATCATCTCAAAGGCTGGGGGTTTGAGTGGAATAGAAAGGAAAAGGTAGAATGTCAGTCCACTGGAGCAGACAAGCAGGCAGAAAGAGTCTTGCTCCCTCTTCCTCCTTCCTCATTTTCTACTTCCTGTACACCATAAAGTAAGCTACTCTGCTCTGCCATACCTTCCCTACCATGACAGACTGAAACTGCGAGATAAAAAAAAAAAAAAACAAAAAAACAGGGCTGGGCGGTGGTGGCGCACGCCTTTGGTCCCAGCACTGGGGAGGCAGAGCCAGGAGGATCTCTTTGAGTTCAAGGTCAGCCTGGTCTACAGAGTGAGTTCCAGGACAGGCACCAAAACTACATGGAGAAAACCTGTCTCGAAAAACCAAAAAATAAATAAATAATTTTTTTTAAAAAACCCACAAGATCAAAGGGGACAACTGTGAAGAGATCAAAGGAAAATCAGGGAGGGGGGGATAGTATTCATTCTTTTCTGTTTGTTTTTTGAGATGGGGTCTCTCTATGTAGCCATGGGTATGCTGGAACTCATGAAGACAAGACTGATCTTGAACTCACAGAGATCAGATCTACCTACCTCTGCCTCCCAAGTGCTAGGATTAAAGCTACCATACCTAGCTTGTATTCACTCTTTATTGTGAATTATAAAAAAGCCAAAATTTACCAAATATACATGTAAGTATAACTTCAATAATACTAGAAGGACTGGAAGAAAAAATATGATGAGGGAAAAATTAACAGTAACCAGACATCAAAATTGTCAACAAAACAGAAAGGAATACTTAAACATTAATTACCATTGAACACTTATAGCTCAATCACTCTAGTAGTTGATTTAGAAACACAAAACATTACCATTTAGCACTTATATACCAAACACTCCAGTAGCTGCTTGAGAGAGAGAGAGAGAGAGAGAGAGAGAGAGAGAGAGAGAGAGAGAGAGAGAGAGAGAGAACATTGTAGCCATAACTGTCTCAGGAACATTTTAAGAAGTAGATGTGGAGTACAATGCCGCAGCCCCAAGATGAAGCCAGTGTGGATGAGATGTTCCAAGAGGGCATGGGGCCCTACAAGGACCTGGATGAGGCTGGAGGGAGCACTGGCCTCTTGATGGACTTGTCAGCCAATGAAAAGACAGTTCATGCGAACTTTTTTAATGATTTTGAAGATATCTTTGATGATGATGTCCAGTGAAGCTGTCCAGTCGTATATGTTCCACATTTGTGATATGTCTTGAATTTCTCAAGACAGAATGGGATGATCATAGAGACCTTGCAAAGATCACTAGAAATCTGGACCTGGTCAGCCAAAGGAGGGGGACTGTCTGAACTAGCTGGGCACTGCTGTCTCTGAGAATGCTAGTCCCTTGTCCTTGTTTAAATTAAAAAAAAAAAAAAAAAAACATTTTAAAAAAAAAGAAAGAAAGAAGAAGTAGATGCAAAGAGTTGGCATGTAGCTCAGCTGTTAAAAGAGTACTTGCGCCAGGCGGTGGTGGCATGTGTCTTTAATCCCAGCACTTGGGAAGCAGAGCCAGGTGAATCTCTGATCTCTGAGTTTGAGGCCAGCCTGGTCTACAGATTTCCAGAACAGGCTCCAAAGCTACACAAAGAAAACCTGTCTCAAAAAAACAAAAAGGGGGGTGGGGGGTGGGGAGTATTCACCTAGCCAGGTGGTAGTTCAGGACTTTAATCCCAGCACTCAGGAGACAGAGGCAGACAGATCTCTGGTCTACAGATCGGAGTTCCAGGGCAGGCAGGGCTACACAGAGAAATCTTGTCTGGGGGGAAAAAAAAAAAAATCAAAAAGAAAAAGGAAAAAGAGTATTTGTCTAACACGCACAAACACTCTGTACAAACCAGAGTGCTACATAATCTGGGTATGGTGGAACATGCCTATAGGAGATAGAGACATAGAGACAAGGCCATCCTCAGTCAGGTTCATAGCAGTTTGAAGTCAACCTCTGATACATTAAAAATCTGTCTCAAAAGAAAAACAAAATGTAGCAAATGTAACCTCCATTCTCACAAATTAACTTAAACATGATCATAGCTTGTAGCTAACATTCAAATCCTATCTATAGATCCTGCCTGTAGAAAGGGGGTTGAAGGGCATTTGGGTCCATCAAAACACAATCAAGAAAGCAATTTTGTGTGCATTAAAAGTAAATACATGTTAGTCTAAGAAAAGAATGAAGTACTCCATTTAAGGACAGATAGCCACAGATATCACATGTCCACACAAAATGGAAGTGGAAAAGGAGACTAACCTAAGAAGACTCAGGAAAGAAAAAAGCAAAATATTCACACCTCTAAGAAATCTCTTGAGAGCACAGAAACCAATGTCCTCTTTCCTTTCCATATTCTCAACATAAGAGCACTATTCAATCTAACTCTAAATTTTAACAACTTCCTTTGAACAGCTGCATGCAAACTTAAAAGCAGGATAACTGGAGGCCCTATAACATAAAATGATCTCACACCGCTAAGGAACTCAACATTGAAAAAGATGAACTGAGTTTCACAAGACAGCAAAAATTACCCACTTCCTGAAGGAGCCTAACAGGAGATGATTTTGCCAAGTACTTGCCCTGAGAAAAAGCTTCTGCTCACAAAAAGTGCAAAGGTTGAAGGTGGGATTTGATTTACTATGCAAATCAGAAGTGTACCTCAGTTCACATATAACACCTCACTAAGGGAGAGAGGTAACACACAACTGGTTAGGAGAACTTGCTGCTAATTTTGTTGTTTTTGTGGTTTTGTTTTTGTTTTGTTTTTCTAGGCAGGGTTTCTCTGTGAACCATCCCTGGCTGTCCTAGAACTCACTTTGTAGACCAGGCTGGCCTCGAACTCACAGAGACATGCCTGCCTCTGCCTCCTGAATGCTGGCATTAAAGTCATATACCACCATGCTCAGCTGTTTTTGTAATGTGTATGAGTCTTTTGCCTGAATGTATGCACCACATGTGTGCCTGGTACCCTCAGAAGGCAAAAGAGAGCATCAGATCCCCTGGAACAGGTGGTTATGAGTTGCCATGTGGGTGCTGGAAATCAAACCTCAGTCCTTTGAGAGAGCCCCCAATGCTCTTAACTGCTGAGCCACCTCTCCACCCCACACTGCTGCCCTTGCAGAAAATCAAAGTTCAGTTCCCAATACCCCATATATCAGGCAGCTCACAACCACCTGTACCTGTAACCAGCTCCAGGGGATCTGACAAGCTCTTGTGACTTATGTAGACACCGGGCATCCAAGGACTGCATACACATACATACAGGCACTCACACATAAAAGAAAGCTTTTTTTTTTAAGAGCTAAAGGAAGGCAGGTGATGGTGGCACATGCCTTTTAATCCCAGCACTAGGAAGGCAGAGGGAGGACTACCTCTGTGAGTTCGAGGCCATCCTGGTCTATAGATCATGTTCCATGCTCATTTTATCATTTTTTTGTAAGCTGTAGTCACTTTCTGCCAAATGTAAGATCAAAGAAAGATCAGTGTACAGTAAAGATCAGCAGTGTCTCCCACTCCCTGGACACAGAATGACTCATACTGAACAAAGACTAAGTTCTGTGACATGGGAGCTGGCAAAAACAGCTGAGTCAGCTTCCAGCCCTGTCATTCAAGTACCTCTTACAAAGGTGCTCAAGAGTAGAGAAACTGGGGTTGGGCATAAGTGTAATAATACCACAATTTTGGATTCTGAATACAAAAGCAGATCAACCATCCTTTTTCTGAGGTTCAAGTATCTATGGATGCTGACAGATGAACACTCCCAGGACACAAAAGCTAAGAAAAGTAACCAAAAGAACAAAAGATAACCAAGGATGCTTAGTTTGCATCTTCTTCAAGCTCTCAATGAGATTGTACCATTGCTTCTGATTCTGCACAGAAATGAGAGTTACCAACACAGTATCTCTAAGCTCAATACAAAATTAAAGGACCTGAACCTGTTAAATAGAAAAGCTACCCCAAACATAAGAAACATGAAAAGGAAGATTTGTTTCTCTGCTGAGGCTGCCAGATAGGGACACCTGTTCTGTCAACTTCCCACAAACCACATTTTAATGCTGAAATATTTCTAAGTAAACCTGGTTTTTATAGAAAAGGCTAGCCTCTCAGACTCATACAATAAAGCCAGCAATGACACAAGGCTTCTAAAACTTGAAACAATAGATGCTGTAAATAGACATTCCAGGTCCAGTTAACAGCTGTGTTGTGCATATCTTTAAATATTTACCAAGGTGACATATTTATCGGTATTCACAAAGAGCATGTAAGCCCTGTTGTCTGATGTCTGAGGATACTAGAATATTATGCAGAACCAAGCATAGTAGTACACACTTGTACTCCTAGCACTTGAAAGGCAGAAGTAGGAACACTGTGAGTTTAAGGCCAACCAGGGGTACATTGCTACAAGCTATCTCAAAAGGAAGTAGAGAGCCAGAACATCAAAGTGAGAAAGACATTAAATAAAGTAAAAGACACAAAACAGCAATTATTACCAGGAGACAAAGAGTACTGTGAGGCAGTACTGGGCCCAGAAGTCACAAGCAAACAGAGCTAAGTAAGCATGAGTTCAGGAAGACTCACAGACAGTTGAGACCTGAAGTCAGTAAGTGCTGGCCAAGAAACAGGAGAAGGAAAAAGGCCTAGAAAACCACAGCCTTCACTAAGAAAGAGAATGATCAAATGAGATCTTACATTTAAGAAAAACCAGCTTGGTAATCATTTGGACCAGTATCAAGGACAGTTAAGATGGGGAGGGGGTGTCAGACATGTGCCTGCACTCTCAAGATGCACAAAGCAAGGGAATGAGAATGCCAATTTGGAGGTCAACCTGGTTCTGCATCAAGAGTTCTAGACTAGCTTGAGATACATAAGGAGATCCTGTCAAGGAGGGAGGGATGGAGGGGGAAGAGATAGGTAGATAGCCAGCCAGCCAGATATACTGGGGGGGGGGGGTGAATAATAAATCAAAGAACAAAGGGGTGGGGTATGCAGGAAGACTCAAGAGACCACAGCAAACTGACAATCATGTATTTAATTGCAGAGAAAGCCAATCTACTTTCCAGAGGGGGATGGAGGAAAGAGAGAGCTATGGTGATTTAAAAGAAAATAGTCCCCAAAGGGAGTGGCACTATTAGAAGCTGTGACCTTGTTGGAGTAGGTGTAGTCTTGTTAAGAGAAAGCGTATCACTGTGGAGGTGGGTGTTGAGGTCTCATATATGCCCAAGCCACGCCCAGTGAGACGGTCCACTTCCTGTTGCCTACAAGTCAAGATGTAAGACACTAGGCAACTTCTTTAGCACCGTGTATACTTGCATGCTGCCTTGCTTCCCACCATGACAATGATGGGACTACTAAACTTCTGAACTGTAAGCTATCACAATTAAATGTTTTTCCTTTATAAGAGTTGCTGTAGTCATGGTGTCTCTTTACAACAGAAACCTTAAACTAAGACAAGACCTCGGGGCTAGATTTCCTCAAGCCCTAGACCCTGATTTCACTGGTGACATCCACCACTTCTTATCCACCACAAACACAGGAAGCAAACAGCACAGTTTAGAATGTAAAGCATAAGAATAAACATCACAAAGGCAATAATAGGATGCAGCCAGGGAGATCTTTCCATCCAATGTGTAGCCATCTGTTGTGATCTTCTCTCCCATCCATACAAGTGGGCAACAGAAGGAAAAAGAAAAACCCTCAAGATCAGAACATGAGTTCAGGGGAAAAAAGGTTTTATGCCAGCAGACTCCCTGAAGACAAACAGATACTGGGCAATTCCAACAATCCAACCACATAAAGCCTCTACTCTCACCAACTTCCTTCAAGTGCAAGGCAGCAGGACCATTAGAACAAGGCACAGGCAGTGTCTCTCCTATGATTAGGTTACACAGAACAGCCAATTGGCTGCAATGTCACTCCCAGGACTGCATTATATGATTTAAGACTCACTGTTCACAAACAGAACAAAAGATTTTGCTGCAGGCTTGGAAGAAGTAAATTGCCAGGTTGCAAGCATACTAGTGGCAACGAGGAAAGAAGGCATATAAAGAATCAAAGGAGGCCAGGCATGGTGGTGCACACCTTTAATCCCAGCAGAGGCAGGTGGATCTGAGGCCAGCCTGGTCTACAGCTCGAGTTCCAGGACAGACTCCAAAGCTACACAGAGAAACCCTGTCTCGAAAAACCAAAAAAAAAAAAAAAAAAAAAAAAAAATCAAGAGTTACCCACAGGAACAACCAGCAACCTGAGGA